ACTCAATAATGAAATTGACCAAACATCGTTATCTAAGACTTTCCTTCAAAGTCTTGAGATTCAGTGAGACTTTCTTGAATAAGTTGAATGGGGTTATCCTTTAATCACTACTTTATTACATTTGTAATGATGTGTAATGCAAGCTGGCCCTATTATTCGTGTGTGTGTGTTGACAATTCGTTACCTCCGCTACATTTGGTGATCAAACATCGTGAGCAAGGTACGCAAGCCGGGACCGCATTACGTCACACGTGTGTCTGCTTAACTCGCGAGCTTCATTTAGTTGCATAATATTTGTCAGTTTGACGTCTGCGAGTTAATCATCGTTTGTACTATTTTTATCCAATACTTTGGTAATAGCTCGAGTTAGTCACCGAGTTGTATGAGTGACACGGCGTCGGGGAGGCTTGCGACGAGAAGTGAATGTCAACGGCTGAGGGCTAACAAAGTTGGCTTAAATATTCTTCAAGCTACATTTTAGTCCAACGTTAAGTTAACGCGACATTAGAACTGTAAAGAGCTGTGGACTCGTTATACAGACACCTCGATGGCTGTTCGTGTGGATGCGTGTGTGTGGTTTACAGCAGCCTGTGTTTACTCAGGTCTCTGCTGTAAATTACACGCTGTTTACAAGGCATAGCGCTACCATTGGACCATAAAAACATCCCATATTGAGAGGCGTTGACAGGACCTAAAGCAAACTAGGGCCCGCCTATTTTTTTAGTCATCCGCGTCCCTATATTTAACTTCTCGATGGGTCTTGGCCTGAGGTTTACGAGCTTTACACATCTGGCTTATAAACTACCTGAGCAAGTATACTCGTACCTGGTAAAAAAAACAACGGTGAGTTAAAATAAATGTCACATTTGGGTATTTGAATATCGTGCCCTTAAAAAACTTCAGGTTGATAATTATAATATCCCTAGCAATTAAGTAAATCATGACCCCACCCACCTACATTTTTGGAGGACCCATTTTCGAACGATTATAGTTTTAAACAGAGCATGTACTATGTGCAAGATTTCATATTTTAAGCTCATCTAGAACATATATTTAGAATGTATATCACTGACCACGGGCTATATATTTAATGGATAACATTGTCATGTGTCCAGGATTGACAGACGTTGCTACGGGCAGTACCTGTAAGAGGGGGTTGAGAGCAACGACAAGGCATATAAAGAGCCAGGAATTTTCTCATGAGCTGTAGATCCAGTAATAAAACGAATCTGGCAGCGGTTAAACCAAGTAAGCCCCACTTAGATACGGTGCAATGAACTTGCAAGCTGCCGTCCATATGTCAGTGTAAAGCGTTCTGGTGGGCTTGTGGGGTTATTTCAACTCCGCACCTATCATATAGCATGTCAACGTAAGCGTAATATCAAGCGGTTACAAAGACTTGATTATGTTTTTTGCAACTGGGTTCGTGCCAAAGGTAATGATGACTATCGTGATGGACTTGACTACACATGTCACCTTCACGCCATGTGCCGTTTTAGTTTTTTTCATTTGTTACTGCGAGTATATGGGGTGTTCACACAATATATATGAGACCTGTGTACACTTGAACCCATGTATGTAGCGTTCCTGTAATTCAGCACGTTTGAGGGAGGCAATGTTGCTCGGATGGCAAACCATGATGTGGCAACTCCCCAACTGCTGGGCTAGAAGGTGGCCAAGAGATGGCAGCACAGCAAATAATCACGTGACCTGTCTGTGTGGTTTTTCAGTGATCTCACCTCGTATGTGTTGGGGGTTTTGTTCCAAATTAGAGACCCTCACTAAAATATGAATTTGCCACGTCCCAATGTACGACCATCAATAAATATATACACTAAGTGAAGATTTTCTGGATAACTTACGTTCAATATTTCTATGACATCGATTGTTCGTGATCTTAGGGAATCACTGAATAAAAAATAAGTTGGAGCCAACGAAGGGGAACGCGTCCGAGAGAACGCTCACCTCGGAGATGGAGATGCGCTCGTGTGCAGGTGCTTAGGGTGGATTTTTTAATTGCAAGAACGCGAGAGATGGTGGTGGCCTGGGGAGGTCTTCATCCAGCAGTGGATTGATCACGTCTGATGACGATGACAAATCATTGATCGGCGTTGTGCGGTTCCGCAGCAGTTATCGCATTGTCCGTGGGTTCGATTCCCGACCACGGTTAGCGTCAGTGGCGAGTGGCACATCTGAACCGGCCCCACGCTTCTCGCTCACCCTACCCGCGCTGACCAGAATTGTGAAGTATGGTCAAACAACCACCCGTGACGGACACGGCGCGAGAGGACTTCATTCAGCAGCGGATTTGACAAAAGGAAATGTAAATCAGAGGTCCGGTGCGTTTCTGTACGAAAAACAATTCTCGTTGCCAACATCACGTTTCACTCGTGACTGCGAACGACTGTTCATTCAGGAATAGTTCTACGTGAACGTTTCAAGCATATGTAGTGTAGCTTGTGTTTGTTTACAACCGCCGTGCAACTCTGGGGGAAAATATTGATTCGGACGAGATGTGAGCGCTTTAGCTACTCAAAGGGAGCTCAGACTCGTATGACTTTATTTCAGCTGGTAAGGCCCATTGGGCATAACTCTTTTTTTACAAAACCAGCTTGCTATGCCCATACAAAGATCTCCCAGCGTCGTACACCCGACCCACACTGATAAAGTTCTCGTGATATTTTTTTTGTTTTCACAACACGAATACCAGGATCGTATGATTGATACAGCGTATAAATGTGTGGCTAGCTATACAACTGTATTATACTACATATGCTGTTTGTTGGCAGCACACGTGTATTGGTGTATCGACCAAAACAGTGCTACATCTATTTCTCTACGATTTTAACATCACTGAATGTCTTACAATATCGTCAAATCTCAAAAGCTACGTAGGTTGGAGCTTAGTACTTGAATGGGTGACCACCGGTGCTTGCCAGATGTTGTAGGCGTGGATCTGCAAGGTGTGACCAGAAGATGTCAGTGTTGACTGTTAGCCCCTCAAATGCGTGGTGGGTTCCGTGTACTCGAGTTGGTAATTGCCAAACATCCAAATCCAGGACCTGACTGAAAAGAGCGTTGGGACTGCGTTACTTTCCTGGATAAATAATTATCTTTATTTAATTTATGCTGTTAACATTTTCAATTGAAACTATAACCTTTGTATATTCAGTACATATAAGGTGTTTTAACTTCACACTATTTTAAACGGGTTGTGCTGTGCTTTTGAGCGGTTCGATTCGCAGTCCAAATGTTGTGAGTTTACAACCTCGACTCCTTCACTTTGTGGAAATTCACTTGTGGTGTGGATAAATTGGCTCCCGCCATAGGACCGTGGAATAGACACCACTGAATCATGATGCCCCAAAGTTGGCAGAAACAGAGACATTGTATCCCATATCGGGTAGAGACGGTCACCCGATCAGCCGATCCAAACTGCTTGCAACAAATGACTGGAACCGATTTTCATTGAATCGCAACAGATACTGAAATCACAGCTGATGGGACATCCACGTTTAATGTAATCGTTTATTTGAAGAAATCATGCATAAAATAATAGTGTAATTCAAATCTTATAACAAAACACATTTCTAGCGTTATTCTAAACGCTTTTAGTTGATTAGTGCAAGTAGTTTTTTTTTCCATTTTACACTTCTGCAGCCATCTGGAACGCTCTTCCTTCCGATGTTAGGAAGCCACTGGACCTATATACACTTCTAAATCTAGATTGAAAACTAATTTCTTGAGAACACCTCCGATTAGCACGGTTGGCTACATACGGTACAAAAGAAATTCAACATACATATCCATCCACCAATGTGCTATTAGGCATGTAACAACACGTCGGTTCATCTATGAAAATCGATTATGACGCTGGACATACGTGCGACGCATAGTGTGTGCGATAATCTCTTGTAACGATTTCCGTGAACGCACTGCGCTTTCAAGTTAGACTCCCGGCCACGGGTTACGGCTCCTCCCCCGTTTACCAACCCGCACTGACCATCGTGGTGAAGTATGGTCAAAAAACCGCCAACACTGACACGGCGTGGGGAGGCCTTCATCCAACAGTGGATTGACAAACAGCTGTAAATGTATTATGAAACGTTCCGCCAATGTTACATGTAAGATAATGAAGAGGACAGCCCCTTACAAATGAAAGCGAACATATTGGAGCAATACATATCAGACATTTAGGGGACAGAAAATATAATCTCTTTTTTAATTCTAACCAAGGCCGTAATTATAATATATATTGGGGGGGACACATCCCCCCTCAATATTCAAATATGATAAAAAAAAATGTCCCCCCCAATATATTGCTATAAAATAGATTTTTGTTTATGTGATTGTGGTTATGGTTGTACTTTATAAATCCCTAATCTCTGCCATTACATACAATGAAACAAGAAAATGTAAAAAAAAACAGAGAAATGTAATACAATACAGTAATACACTATTAGACATTGTTGTTAAAAATGAATAAAAAGGCAATCTTATGTGTTAGTGATCTTTTTTTATATTTTAGGCAGGAAATGGCAGGAAATTCGTTTTCAAATTTAGATTTTTTTTGGGGGGGGGGACCCCAGACCCCGTGGAAGATGTAGTCCCCCTCAATTTTGACTCCGGGGCTACGGCCTTGATTCTAACTACAGGACAGTAACTAATTGATACTTCATCAAATCGCCGGGACAGCCCCCAGGGAGGGGGTGGGTGGATGGCCGGACCTGGGTATCCGAGCTAAGGGTCGGGTGAATATTTTGAAGCTTTACCGTTCGTAAGTTGCAACACATTTTCGTGGCAGCCCGTCATCACTGGATTGTGCCAATACGGCATTCATGGCGTGTGTCGCACGCACAACGCAAGCGAGCGAGAGACACCCACCCCCCAACGCGGTGCCGGTGGCGTCACTCGCCATGTGAAACAGAAGCGGAGGGGGTGGCCTGGCCAATGGGCTGAGCCAGATCGGGGTAACACCTGCGGCTATAATAAGGGAGGGATCGGCAGCTCCAACGCACGTTCCAGATCGTGCAGAGAGAGCGAGCGAGCGCAAGTAGCGAGGTTACAGCAAGCGAACGAGTGTCCGTCCGCGTGAGACGAGCTGCAGACAGTGACGTGCTCGTGTGTTGAGCGGTGGTTGCGCGCGGTTCCCGTCCGAACAAAAGAGCGAGAGAAGAGGTCCTTGGCTCCGGCGCAAGTGATCCTCCTCCTTCTCCTCCTTACTCGTTGACCATCGCCTTTTGTTTATAAAATCACCGAAACAACAACGCACGCGCCGGCGCCGAAGCGACTCGTGCAAACTGCGCCCGCTCGGAGTGAGCCTTCCGGGCGAACGAAGAAAGAGTAGGAGGAGGAGGAGAAGAGGAAGAAGGAGTAGGAGGAGGAGGAGAAGAGGAAGAAGGAGTAGGGGTGGTGGTGCTGGTGCAGTGAAAGTGAATTCGCTCAGCCGGGGAACGACTGCGCGCGCGTGATTCCCGGAGCGCACGGCCACTGCGGGGGCGGGGAGAGGGCGCAGAGTTTGACGAGCACCATCGGTAAGTCACCTCCACGCAGTGTGTGACCGCCGTGCGCGCGCGCGTGTGTCCCTGTGTGTCCCTGTGTCTGTCCGTGTGTCCTCCTTGCGTGGTGCACGTCTGGGGAGCGGCAGAGTGCGTCGCGGGTCAGCGCGTTGCGCTGCAAACCGGCCGCCACTCGAGTTCGATTCCTGGTCACGGGCAACAGCAGCTGATATATTATCTGAACCGGTTCTGGGTCTCTTCCCTCTTACGTTGACACGGCCTCAAATGAGTTACCTCTTGTGATGTGCGTGTGTGATCGTCGCCGCTGGGGAGACAAAGGCGGTCGGGCGTGGTTGCTGGTCACCCACCCACCTCGTGTGCCGTGCCGGCCTTCATAGGTGCTCGCTAACAGCACTTGCCCCTACAGTTTGCTAAAGCTGCACGGGGAATCGTTGTCTCACTCGATAACAGCATTTGCCACGACATTGTACACGGCTATACGGAGGATCTTACGTTTCTCCTTTGTGTGTCGTGATCAAGATCATGTGTGTGTTGTGGGGGTACGGTGACGCTGTGATTAGCGCACTGCGATACGAACCCGGATACCCACGACGTTCCATGCTCAACCTCGGCTGACATCGGTGCTCATCGATGATATCAGAACCGGTGCTGCCCTTCCCCTGCACCCGCTCTAGTCGATCTGTCGACTTAGCCTCATGCGAGTGCCTGATGCGGTGCGTAAACGTCAATACTTGGGAGACAAAGGCCACCGGGCATCATGTTGGCCACACAACCTCAGTGTCCACCGTGCTGGCCTTATTGGTTGTTCGTTGACCGCACGTGCCCCAATAGTCTACCGAAAAGGCTCTCTGTACACTGGGGATCTGTTCGATTGTGGGCTGTGTGGCGTGTACAGCCCTTGCGCGCTGGTGGATGCATGATCCGCTTGAGTTTGTGTATGAATATTTGTGGGGGGTTTTTTTATTTGCTAGGATTGTGAGCGGTTTTACTCCGGGGTGGTAAGATCTGGGAAAGATCAATACTGAGCTGTAGATAAACGGATTCAACGCAGCAAGCCGCCCGAACGCTCACTGCATCGAGCGCTTTCAGATGCGCTTCTGCGACCGTCTGGAACGCTCTTCCGATATTTTGAAGCCACTGAAGCTATGCACTTTTAAATCGAGATTGAAAACTCATCCTTTAGAACTGCTTTTTGCGTTTAGTTTGTTGTCCTTCCTCCGCATCTCTGATTAGCACAGTTGGTAACATACGGTGCGAAAGAAGTTCAACATACATACAGTACATAGGTTCAGGCACAACAGCGAGCAATTGAGAATTCGGTGTAATTGGGAAACGTGATCAACATAGAGACGACCTTCATTCCAAACCAGGTGAGAAACAAGACCGAGGACCTCTCTGTCTAGAGACACATATTAGCCAACTTTTTTTTTAAGTCGGAGAGATCTTCTGACATCCAGGTCTCCCTTGATAAAGACTCGTCACCTGACGGCGTTAACTACCGTACATTGCCAGCTCGGGGTGCGGCAATCGATTAGGTTTGGCCCTAATATTTGATTTGTTTCGCGTGGCCACACCCAGGCTATAATATGACGTCTCCTCTTGCCTAATTACATTATTACATACGTTTTTGTGCTTTTACACTGTTGTTGACAACATATCTAATGATGGTTGTCAAGGGGGCCCCATCTCGTACCTTTGGCCAGTTACGCGACTGTCAGCTGATTTCAAGGCTTCCACAAGAGTAGTACTCTACCGTAGTTACATACTCAGGAGGAGGTTTAATTGTTTCTGTTATTCGAGCCATAGGTTCACTTTCAGATGGCACGCTACCTTGCACTCGATTTCGTTGTGGAGTGGTGGTGCTGTGATTAGTGCATTGCGGCTAAAAACCAGCCTACCCCAGTTTCATTCCCGGCCACGGCAGACGGACATTGCGAGTGGTATTTTGGGAGCCCCCTTCGCCAACCCACAGTGACCAGCGTGGTCAAGTATGGTCAAACAACTCTCATGGTAACCGACACGGAATGGAGAGAGACCTTTAGTGGATATACAATTATGTTTATTTGGAAATCTTAAAAAAGTGCGTGAGAACCATGGGAGGTAGTAGAAATTAATTACTGTGGATGCTGCCAGGTTCTGAAGCAAGAGGACACTGCCAAATGATCCCTGCCGAGTAGTGAAAGATACAGTTAGTATGTAGTGTGGGTGCTTGGGCAATACAGTGGAGCATTGCTGGAATCCGATTATTCTTTTTCTTAAGCCTTCAAAATGTTTGGGTTTTTTGACGAACGTGCCCGGTTTTGATTATCGTCCAGTGCACAATGCTCAGGGGACCTGAGCAGGCCAGGCAGTGATAATAATTATGGATTGTAAAAAAGAATGTACTGTATCTACTGTCCTGTACATGTTTAACTTGTGTTGACGTTTCAAGCAAAATTAACGTTAAGAATATGTAGCACGTGCTGAACTTAACAAAATAAAGTCTCTAGTAATAATTGTACACCCTTTTTTTTGTAAATCCACTGCTAAATGGGGGACTCCTCGTGCTCTGCGAGTTATGGGGGGATATTTGACCATACGTCATCACGATGGTCAGTGAGGGTTTGTTATGGCAATAGGGGGAGGGGGGGCTAGGTCAAGTTCAGATTGTACCCACCACTGATTTTTCTCGTGGCTGGGAAGCAAACTCAGTTTGGCAAGTACTTACCGTCGAGTACTCCCTCCAAATGCACAATAATGGCATGGGCTGTACACTGTGAAGTTTTGAAACCACCTATGAACAAAGTGCCCTGGATGGGCCAAATCCCTTCTACCTCTAAAGCCAAGCAGAATTGAGCCTGGTTAGCACTTGAATGTTGACTCTTTGGAAATATCAGGTTTTGAAGACTTTGGCTGCAAGGTGGCTTGAACATGGCAGTACAGCAGTGGATTATAACCACTTTCGTGGAGCTTTTGAGCGTTATCCCCTCCGGCATGGTGGGGTTTCTCCGGGTATTCTGATTTATTTCCATATGACGTAAAAACACTCATTTAATGGATTGGCCAAACATCCCAATTCAGGCTCGATGGTGAGCAGTAAACTACCTCACCTGTTATACAGGAGGTCGTGGGTTCGATACTGACCCTGACGCATGTATACTTTGAGTTTACATGTTCTCCCCGTGATCGCGTGGATTTTTCTCCGATTCCTTCGGTTTTTCCCTCCACATTTATATTATTTAGCTGCTCGAATTTTCAATGATAGGCCACTTCATTGAGCTATCATTTGTGGCCAGGTCGCTTCTGAAAAATAGCTATATAGCTCAGTGGGCCTTAACTGGTAAAATAAAAAATAGTTTTAGTTTAGTTTAAGGTATTGTGAGCAGTGGGGAATTTTGTTGCAGTTGGCATACGACTTGATTAAATTCTATGTCACCTCATGGCCTTGTCAACTTGGCATCATCATCACCTTCATCTTCATCAATAGCTACTATCACCATTTCCATAGCCATTAATCATCATTCAACACCATTATATTTCACATCCTTCTGGCAGTATCATCACACTGATTTTACTTATGCGTCATAGTGCATAAATAATAATAATTCTTATGAATGTGTGTTGTGCTTAATCTGCTGTCCCATTTGTGTGTTGCAGCCGGTAAAATGGCCAGACTCGGGCACGCCATGCCAGCGGTCGTCGGGCTGCTGCTGTGCACGCTGGCGGAGCAGTGCGGCGCGCAGGCTGTGGGCTGCGGCAGCGACGTCCAGTGGCCCTTCACGAGGCTGTGCGACCAGACTCTCGCGTGGGGCATCGTTCTGGAGTCGATCGCCGCCGCCGGAATCGTCATCTGCTTCATCCTGGCGTTTGTGCTGCTCGGCAGTATCCCCTTCATCAAGCAGAACGGGAAGAAGGACTTCGTCCCTGTGCAGGTGGTCTTCACGGTGGCCACGATGGGGCTGTACGGCCTCACGTTTGCGTTCATCGTCTTAAATACACCGCAGACCTGCCCGACACGACGCTTTCTCTTCGGTGTGCTCTTCGCCATCTGCTTCTCTTGCCTCATCACGCACGCATACGCGATTATCAGCCTCAACCGCGGCGCAGAAGGGCACTCCCCCTGGAAGCTGCTGGGAATCGTGGCGCTCCTCTCCCTCGTGCAGGTCATCATCAACGTGGAGTGGCTCATCACGACCATGGTGAGGCCCTTCCAGCAGCCGTGCCTCTATATGCCAATGGACTTTGTCATGGCCCTCATCTACGTGATGGTGCTAATTTTCGTCGGCTTCGTCATGTCCATCTTGGTGGTTGCCGGAAAAAATCGCAACTGGAGGAAGCACGGGGTTTTCATGCTGATCACCCTGATATTCTCCGTCTCCATCTGGATCGTTTGGATCGTCATTTATGTGCGTGGCATCGACGACCTGGAACAGCGGGGCAACTGGGATGACCCCGTGCTGGGCATTGCCCTGCTGTCCAATGCCACCGCTTTCCTGTTCTTCTACATCATCCCCGAAGTAAGCCAGCTCAACAAGACGACGAGCCACGGGGACATGGAGAACCACTTCCTCCCCGCGCGCCCTGCGCAGAACCCGCCTGCCACCCTGCCAAAGCCGTACGTCGTCGAGAATAGAGCCTTTGCCTTGGATGAGCCCAACTCTGGTACGTGCCTTGCATGCGAATAACTTTCCCTTTGTCTTAACACTGTCCTTGACCAAATCTGCCAAACGGGGATTGGATTGTACATGTTTCAGTTAAGTCACGGTTAATTGTGAATTTTTCTCGGCGAGTGTTTCATCTGTAATATGGTGCTTGTGAACATTTTTTCGTGTCGCTATTAAATAATGAAAAGAGAATGAATATGCAACTTCAAAGGCATCGTAAAGATTACATGTCAATATTTGACGTATAACCAGATGGAGAAAAACAATTGCTTAAGCTGTAACTTAATGGGACCTATTGTCTTACGGATTTGCCATGAATTTATTTTTCAGGATACAAGTCTGACTCACCGCTGAACGGTCATCATTCCAACCCGGTGTACCAGCCAACGCCGATGAGTTTAATGATGAATGGCAGGAATGTAAGTTAATGTAGGTTTTTATTTGCTTCATGGTGCTGTGTGCATATCGAATGAAGGGTGTACATCATCATGCTGATTGTGTATAATTAACATTATTTACAGCCCTTTGTCAATCCACTGCGAGATGAAGGCCTTGCCACACTGTGTCGATCATGAGAGTTATTTGACCATACTGACCACACTGATAAGTGTGGGTTGGTGAGACAGTGGGACCCAGAGCTGAATTGGATATCACTTGCTATCGATGTTAGCTCTGGCCAGGATCAGACTCACCAGGTGACTGGGTTCAGAGGGTAGAGCACAAACTGCTGTGCCAATGCTGATTTTACTGCTCAAGAATTCTAAATGTGACAACATTAAATATTCCAGTTATGCTACTAAAGAGAAATGTCATGCTTTTGAAAAAATAATTATTCATTATCTGCTTGATGAGGGCTTCCCTGTGCCATGTCAGTCTTCGGGGCTGTTTGGTCATACTTCCCCACCGCTAAAATATAACTCGCCACTGATACCCTAGCCAGTCGTTGGCTGAAATCAACGTCATCGCCAGGTTCATAGCACAGGGCATTTACTACTGTGTTCCCATGCCACCCTCTATTGAATTACAGTATTGCAAATATTCCAGATGAAGTTTCTAAAATTTAAATGTGCAACTGGTAATCGTTACATGTTGGGAGGTGGCACACGAGTTATATTATTGTTTAGTTTTGCACTGTACTTCTATCATGTACGTGCCATGTTACAGACGACAGATTGCATGAAATGACTCGCGTAATGATTGATGCGTGTAGCGGCAGTCTTTTATTAAAGGGAGTCGTTTGTTGGCTACTCCGGTCACGGTTCTGACGTCTGTTGTTTTGTCGCATTGCGTGTTGCCCTTTCTCGCAGGATCACATGATTCCACGGGCGACCTACAACAAGGACGCGCACAATGCCCCCACGGTACGTATAGAGGACACCGACCGAGTGCCGCCTCGGAAGGCCTTTCTTCCCGCCAACAACCAAGGCCTGAACCACTTTCAAAGTGGGGAAGACTGGCGTACACCACTGTAGTAGACATTTGTTGCTGTAAGCCCACCCGCTTTTAAACAGTGCAGCAATTTCAAATGTGCAGTAGCTTCTTGAAGTGAAAGCGAGAGTAACTCGTTTTCAAATGAAAGATTTAAACACCAGTAATTTATGCCTATTAAAGTATTCTTGTTTCATAGGTCCCAACTGCTGGCTGGTAAAGGTGCAGCAGGTGACCTGATGTGGAGGGGCTTGTGTCGTACGGAGCAATGCCTGTGTACTGCTGGTTAGTAGCCACTTCCTAGCAATTTGGACTTAATGTGTCTACCATCAAGCACCGGAAATGATTCTTTATTTGTGTGTTTTTACCAATAGTGCTTTATGTTAAGAAAGGTTTTGGCTAAGAAAGACTTTACATTTTAGTACGTGCTGTGGATTGATGTCCATGAGCGTAATACTTGCACAAATGTACGTTATTATTTGTAGCTTGAAAAAAAAGTAAGTGATGTATATTTACGCATTTTTAACCTTTCGAAGGTTTGATGTATGTAAAATAGTAGCAACTGTTTGGAAAGAATGGCCAAAGACGTGAACAAAATGTCAAACTGAGATACGTTGGTTTGTGTAAAACATGCTTTGTGTGTGAGTGTATATATATGTGTGTGCACATATACATGTGAAACATGTTTATATGTAAGGAGTGTAGGCACATTTATGTATATGTATTTAATGTAGTAAATTGTGTGTAAATACTAATAATGCTGGTAAACCAAGCTCATACAGTGCGACCAAAGGTAAAGTTGATATTTCATTTGGTCACCGGTTGAAGTGAATTGTCCAGTTCCCGACAGATGAATGGCAAATCAACACCCATAGTAAATTCATAATGGAAGGCATTTCTTAGAAATAAACACGCATATATGCCATGCCCAAAATTTTCAGAATCTGTTGAATGGTGTGACATTGTTATGCTAAGAGCACAGGAGGGCTTCATTATCTGAATAAATACTTTCCTTTTGGTTATCCTGTAGCTTGGACTTTTGTATTCTTCACAAGTACAGATGCACATAATGTTTGCTATCTTTTCACAGCTTTTGTATGTCTTGGCAAGTATTTATGCTGTAGTATGCCTTTGTATGATAAAAAAAAATACATTGTCATGTATAGAGTGACTCTGACAGGCGCAGAATTACACTGCACGCTGTTGTGCATGTTTTATTTATACGTTGTTGTCTAAAATAAAGATATCACAACAAAACCCTCGTGTGTGTTTGTGTTTTATGTTGGTGTGCCAGCGTGGGGTGTGTGATCGGGCACTTTACCCCGTGACCTCAATTTGTTTTCTTTTTATGCACATCATCCATCAACTCTTTCTTTTTGAGCCTACAGATATTTGTATTCATCGCTGTTTACATTTGCAAGTTTTGCATTGGGGTTTTATTTGACTTGCTCAGAATGCCGCTATTATATATTACAGTGCTTGCTTGTCGAATATTGCTTCAACAAATGTGCAAATATTGTTGATGAGAATTTGTGAATTCTATGGGATATTAAAGTCACATACAAGCTCACTGAAAAGAAAATGGTAATAAAAAGGACGCACGCAGCTGTAAATACATATCTTTGCCAACTGTTGGAGGTGTATCTTGATCACCTTTTCAAATAAGATGGCAAGTGAGAGCAGGATGGAGTGTTTTTTTTGTAAAACTAAAATTTGTGAATGAGAAGCGACGTACTAATGTGCTGCGCATTAACTGGCACATGCAGTGGAAACATGAGCACGGACAAAGACAATGGAGTGAAAGCTGCAAAGCATGAAGAGTTACATATGGGGAAATGCGTGTAGAGAAAGAAAAAACATGAACCAAAGAACAAATGCAAATTGCGAGACATTGACTGTTAAGAAAAGTGTACTTGGATATAATGCATACCTATAAGGGCTGATTGTCAGTGAATAAGACTTGTGAAGGAATGGCAGCCAAAGCAGTGAATAAAGACAAATAATACCCCACTTTAGCATTAACAAGCCTCCCGTGGCAAGTGCTGTTGACAAGCACCTATAAAGGTCGGCATGGCGCACAAGGGGGCGAGTGGAGCGAGAATTGAAGCTTTCGTGACTGCAGGAATCCATACTCTTTGGTTCTTTCAGTAAAGTCACGTAGTTTCACCTGAAGACGGACGCTCGTGTTGCGATCGAAACATCGTGATTTATTTGATTTTATTTCTACCTACATGACTTTACCGAAAGAACCAAAGATCGATTTTGGCACCACAAAACGTCGGGGAGGCCGTTGGCATGGGAAGGCCTTCGTACAGCAGTGGATAGATCACTGATGTCTGTCTACAATTCTTAAGTGTTGTATAACAGATTCCATTGAATGTGCGTAGTTAGTAGGATTAAATTATTGTTTCCATGTCATGGTATTAGTGCAACTCCATTGACAGTAGCAAATGTTGAAATTTACTAAGCTAATCCCATGTGATGAATGCTATAAGAATATTAAATCATTAGTGGTGGGTAACACGCCACTAACATTGAATGGGTGTTTTATTCTGCCACACAGCTAGGGTTCTTACTGAGTAATGTTTTTTTAATGAAAAACAGTAAAAGCTATAATTTGTTAAGCTACTTTTTTGTTGTAAAATTTAATGACTCATACTACGGTGTTATTACAAGATGAATTGCGTTAATTATATTTTTCTAATAAAATATTAAATGCGTATTTTATGCTTTGTCTGTAAATGTTATTATTTGTATACCACTCTATCAACCATCGTTAATAACAACAAGGTGTGATTATGTGCACATCTATATTCATTCATTTTTCATGTATGCATGCCAGTACCCCGATATATGTACATGCATACTATACAATTATGATATTTAATATTGTCCTTTTACCAAATTTGGATTTATTCAAATAAATACTGTAAATAAACTGCATTAAATGCTATATTGTGGTGTACTGCATAAGAGTTGAAGTTTCTGGCAAGGCATGCTATACAGTGGTGAGATAGTGGTTTGGGCATGCACGGGAGTGATGAAAATGTGATTTTCTGCTTCTAAACCATCGATGTTAATGTGTTTGTGCTGGATGTAATACAATCACTGCCACTGTAATTCAGTGCGTGATGGGAGAAAATATACAACTTTGTGCAACTGAGTTTAATATTTTTTAACACTATCAAATTTAATATAAATCTTGCCAGCTTCACAAAGACTTATTATTGTGAGTGTAACCAGATCTTTCAGTATTTACCAAGATTGGCAGGTAGTTGCACGCCAAAGGAATGTCCAGACAAGCTTAGTGAATAATTTTTACTGCTGGCCCAAGTCTCCTGTTGCGGCAGAGGTGTGTGCTTTGGGTTTTTTTTACATTCGTGCACAGAAGCATGAAGTGTACATTTTTTATTGACTTCTGTAATATTAATACAAATGTTGTTTGGCATGATTTTTGTTCAATTAAACACTATTCCATTTCTCGCTAAGCCTTGACGCATAATCGCTTGGCATACTGAAAAACGAAAAGGTGAAGGTGCAGCCCTGCAATTGCTTGCTTACGCCACTGCTGGCAGAAGGCCCTCCGCTAGAGGGGGCTCTAGAGAGCCCCTCTAGAGGGTACTGAATCTACTCCTCCACGCTGTTAATAATGTTTGGAAAACGTGGCGGTACCCATATTTTGCCCCTACCACACGTAACGTGCCGATGGAATCAGTGTGGTGTACACATTTACACTGCGGGTGCGTACCGATATATCCTATTTTTATTATTATTTTACACGCTTTTATTTAACTCACTCCGTCTGTTGTCGTATCCTCAAAAAATATTGCAACTACATTTTTACCCACTTCCCAATGTGCTATCGACTGCAATCTCGGTATACTAATGTCTTACTGATGACAAGACTATATTATGTTATTAAAAATTAAAAAAATATATTTTTAAACAATCTTTTTTACAGGGTCTAATTGTCCACGCTCAACTCACGTTGGCTGTAAATCACCACGGATCCTTACGTTATGGCAAGCTTCAGGGCCACTTCCTGGAGTCGTGGAGTTCTGCCATTACTCGTACGGTACATTTCATTAAAGCGTGTTTAAAAAAAAGTATTTTTTAACATTACTTATTAAGTTCAATTTACAGTATTTGGAGGGCCCAGTATGAAACGCTTGACAACGTTCCTGATGTGCATGTGCGTGAGTAATGGTTTGTTTGTGGTTGCACATTACTCGCGGCATGTTTGAATATAAATATCTTCAGTTGCACCACCGTCTATGTCATTGGCCAGTGCTGTAACCGGATATGAACCGAACACAAGTCAGAACATAACCATGAATGGTATTCATCAGTTGAAATAGAGCCAACACGGCTTTATAAAAAAAAAACTGAGACTATAGAAGCAACATTGGTAAATAAGACTGTCTCGTTATTGACGAAAACAGTTTTTCTTTTACCAGGTAAGGCCCACTGAGCTATACAGCTCTTTTTCAGAAGCAACCTGGCCACACATCATCACTCAACGAAATGGCTTATCACGTGGAAATTAAGAGCAACCAAATACTCGAAACGCATCTTTCTAAATGTGGAGAGAAAACCGGACCCTGAGAAAAATACACGCGACCACAGGGAGAACAATGCGAACTCAAAATATACAGGCGTCAGGATCAAACCCACGACTTCCTGTATACAAGGCAAGGGAGATAACATCTCTCCACCGCAGCACCACACGAGCACATTCCTGCGGAGGGAACTGGTAGGAACGTTGGGTTGCTCGGTCAATGGCCAGGGCCCGACTGTGAGGGCGGGCACAAGCCGGCGTGAGTAGGTTAAACGTTGAGTTTTATAAGGGCACCACGGGGTGACCAGCCCCTGCCACCCAGCCCCACCCCTCCCACCCAGCCCCACCCAGCCCCACCCTCTCCACCCAGCCCCTCCCCACCCAGCCCCTCCCCACCCTCCCCTCCCCACCCAGCCCCACCCTCCCCACCCAGCCCCACCCCACCCTCCCCTCCCCACCCAGCCCCTCCCTTCACGACGGACGGACGGACACAATAATCCCCTGTGGGCTGGTGTAACCAGGAGGTTCCTACCAGTATTAACATTCTCCACGATGAACATTCTGAAATTTAACAATGGTGCTCAGGATAATTATATACCTGGTAGTGAGCTTTGTCAACTTTCTATCAGCTTTAGCATCACCCTCTCCAGAAGTGGCAGTGCATAGTCAACTTGTGATGATCATATACATTTAAATACAAAGCATGACACTTGAAGGGATTTAGAACCTTGGGATGACACTGCCCAATGAGTAAAACTCAGCAACTTCCGGGCCATAATGTTTGGGTACCCCAAAAACAACAGTTTGGTTTCAATATTCTTATAGTTATATGCAAATACCAAAGTATCTTTGTCCCAAATTCCAGCTTTCTTAACCCGGCCGAAACACCATTAAAATGGACATCAGTTAAGTCAGAATTATCTCTATGCACAGTATAGAACACTCTTAATTATGGAGCTTTCGTGACTGCAGGAATTAATATTTGGTTCTTTCGGTTAAGTCACGTCTAAAGATAAAATAATAAATTAAAATAAAAGCATATTACGACGTTTCGATTGCAACACAAGCAATCATCATCAGGCAAAAAAGAAATAGCAACAAAAATCTATAACTAGAAAACTATAGACAGACATACAAGCAGACAGACATCACAAGGACACACAGAGAGAGGACACATATCGGCAATATATCGGCAATATGTGTCCTCTCTCTGTGTGTCCTTGTGATGTCTGTCTGCTTGTATGTCTGTCTATAGTTTTCTAGTTATAGATTTTTGTTGCTATTTCTTTTTTGCCTGATGATGATTGCTTGTGTTGCAATCGAAACGTCGTAATATGCTTTTATTTTAATTTATTATTTTATCTTTAGACGTGACTTAACCGAAAGAACCAAGTATAGAACACCTTTCCATGGAGGGACGAGCCTTCCACCATGGGAATGTGGAATTTCCTCAACTGTCTTAGAGCCACCAATGCAGTGGAAGTTCATCCCGGTGCTAATTCTAGGGTGGAGACACTTGATTGGTTAATGTAAATAATATGCAAATCACGACGCAAACCACCATGGTGCAATATCATCCAATAACCCCTCATGACCCACACGGCATTTTGAGGCCCTCATGCAGCAGTGGATTGATAAAACGGGCTGTCCACACGGAACCAGGTGTTTGGTGAAATGCTTCTCCCAGGTCCCTGTGCCA